AAAAAAAAAAAAAAAAAGCTGCAATGTAGTGCCCCAAACTTCTACTTCTTCTTCCTTTCTTTTTCGGCTTTTATCTTTTTTTTCTGCAATGGAGTGCCCCAATCTAATGGGGGGCGGGGAGCTGCACCTACTGGGAATCAAGTTCAGCATCCCTCTTAACTTTTGCTCTTTTTCTTCGTGAGATGGAAACCAGGTCCAGCAACCCCTTTTTCGAAATCAGGAATACCGAATCTTAAATACCTCGTATACAGTATATACACCTACTCATTGATTCAACCACTGAGCCAATTGCACCTCCATTTCCTTTCGGTGGTTGTTAGCCCCTCAGGAGAAATGTGACAGTCTTCGTTTCCGTTGCAAAGCTCCTCGTTTGATTCTGGGAGGTTCTTGTACTTGGCTGGCACTCAGGGCATCGAAGGCAGTTGGGAGGTGGGCCATGGAGGGTCAGGAGAGGGTGGGAACTGAGGAAGGGGAGGGGGAGGGAGGTGAGGGTGCAAGGTTGGGGGAGCAGGTGGAGGGACGAGCCGCAGAAGAGGGGTATTTCGGCAGGTTGGGATGGCGGTCAGGTCTGATGATGGGATGAGAATGAAGTTGGTAGGTTGATAGTGAACGACGAAGTGGCGATGAGCTTCAATCTCATGATTTCCAGCTCTGACTTACAAAAGCGATGAAATATAATTTAAAAAAAAAAAAAAAAAAAAAAAAGAAGCGATGAAATATATTTAGTATACAATGTATCTATAGAATGTATAATATAGATTATATTCTATATGATATAGATTATTTTCTATTAGTATATAATTTGATTAGTAATTTGATTAGTCTATTTTATACGAGTAAATAAGATAAAAATCAAAACAAAGATAATAATAAAATAATATTTAATCTCTGACTTACTAAAGCGATGCAGGTTTTTCAACTGGTATCTGCAATGAAAATCAAACTGAAAAAAACAGTAGGTTGGTGGATTACATCAGAGCATGTGGAAAAGCCCATGCGCATGCCGGATGGTTTGACTTGGGCTGATGTCAAAGCGCCATTCAGCTGTTTAGGAGTCTAACGTAACAGATCAAGGAGCATCCAACACAATGGCAGTAAACCTGTTGCCGTGGTAGGCTGTTAGTGAAATTCATGGCCGCTAGGGACCCCCACACCGGCACCGGCACCGATCGGGACGTCTGCGCTGGACCCGGTCATTTGACTAGAATACAACAGGTAGTAGCGATGCACCAACCCATGCAACAATGACATCTTCCAGAATACAAACAGGTCGTCACGCCAAATGAAACAACCTCCGTCAAAAAAAGTGTTTGCCTGGGAGACTGGCGATGGAGGCACTTGTGGAAACTGTGGAGATGCAAGTGCAAAATGAATAACATTGTGTCAAGAAGAGCAATGCAAATACAAATACAGACAAGTACAAGAAAATGGAAACGAAAGCGATAGAATTTTTTTTTTTTTTTTTT